CCGCGCTGGCCCCGAGTCTCCGGGTGACCGAGGCAGGACTTGGCTTGGCTCTTTCTTCCCGCTGCTCAGGAGGTCCCGCTGCGAGCTGAAGCTCCTGGGGAGCTGGAGGAGCTCTCCAGACCGTGCCAGGGTCGCAGTCCACAAGTCAGTGGTCTCCCTGCTGATAAACAGCCACCTCGGTGCCCAGAAGGACCCTAGAACGGGCGGGTTGGACACAGGGTGTGATCCTGTGTCTGGGTGTGATCCTGTGCCCAGGTGTTCGTGCTCTCCTCCGGCTGCCTCAACTTTCCTATTCTTCCGTGCCCGAGATCAACCTCTGCTCAGCTGACAGGCAGACACTTTGTTCCACCTCAGTTGCAGTTTCTGTTTCCCCCCCGGAGGGACACTCCTGAAGCTGTATTTGCGTGGAAGCAGCCCAGGTTTGGAGCAGATGAGTTTACTTCTCCTGTTCTTTTGGCTGTCAACACAGTCACCTTGTGCTGTGAGGATCAGAACGGGCTGGGAGAGGGCAGGACTGTGTCGAGCTCTGGTGGATCTGTGTGCTTCGAGTTGTTGCTGTGATCCTCTCTCTGCTGCCCTGCTCTGTTCTTACTCTCTGGTTGCTGCTAGTCACTGCTGGGTGCTTGTGTACAGGTGATGTGTTTAGGTATGAGTTACCTGGCAAGAGCTTCTAACCCTGTTGCATCACTGTGTTCACAGCTTGGGTTATGCAGCTCAGCTGCTGTGAAGGGTTCTGGGGGCCGTGGCTGGGTGGTTTGGGGTCAGGAGGGGCACAGGGCGCCTGTAATGCTGCTCCAGTCGTGCACCCTGCACAGGGTCAGATCTCAGTGCAGCCCTGCAGCCTCTCTGTGCTTTGTGCTCCCCTAATCCATGTGTAATCTCTTCCCATGGGATCTTTGTTGCCCTCCCAGTCTTGTCTCAAAGTGGTGTTAGTGATGCTTAATAAATCCCTCCTGGGCACCTTCTTTTTTGAGCAACCTGCTGAAAAGTCTCTATTTTACCAGTCTGGTGGTTTTTATTTTTAATTCAGCCCAGCTTGAGGGCTTCTGAGGCTCCTGTTCTTTTCCAGGTACAAGCTCACCTTTCATTTAAAGTTTTATCAGCACTGGCAACTTCAGTTCAGAAACTTAAAAAGGGACTTTGCATTTTTAGAAACTATCTCAGACCTGTGAATTTTAAGATCCTGCATTTAAAGTGAAAGCAAATTCTGCTTTCTGGAAGTAGAACAGAGAATTAAACATGTGTTTCAAAGGCTTTGATTCCTCTTCCCCAGCTTTCTCACCAGCATTTCCTGGAACTGAGGAGGAGGGAGTGAAACTGTTGGGAAACAGGACTGAAATGCACCCAGTTCTATTCCTGTCCAAGTCCCTGATTGAAGCCATGTGGGCAAATGGGTCTAAAGTTCCAGCTAAACAAATTCGATCTCAAGCTCTGAGCCCACAAAACAAATTATTTAAGTGAAGGGCAGCTGGCTGGAATATTGGAGTTTGCACTTGGAGTAGGCAGGGGTTTGTTTTCACTTGGGGCAAGGTGGCCCATAGGGTTTCTGACCGGAGCCAGGACTGTTTGCTGAATAAACAGAACTTTTAGGGGTTGGTGTGACTTTCAGTTTTTCAAGGCATTTTTAAAGCTCACGGTCAAGTGTTCTAGTCCATGAGATCTTAGCAAAGTTGTGGAGTGGGATGTGTAACACATCCCGAGCTACATCCTGCTCCGCCCCAAACCCTTTCTGCCGTGGTGTAATGCACAGGGCAGCCCAAGAGAGTGGGCTGAAAGCTGTATGAGCAGCTCTGGTATTGGATTTCTCAGCTTTTCATATTTGTGTGCTGCTGGATCTTCAGAGAGGAGTAAGGAACTGTGACTTCAGGCCTTTCCTTTCTCTTGTTTGCCTTAGCTCAGGGACTCATGTAATTTTGGCTTACTGAAGCCCTCTCGCATTCCTCACTTCCCAATCCGTGCAAACAGCTGCTGGCTGGAGCAGCGTTCAGCAAGAATTGGCAGGAGGCTAGAATACTCCCCTTGCTCCTCCTTTGGACCAGCAGTCCCAGCACAGGAAATATTTTTCCATTCCGATGGGGAAGTGAACGTCTGAGCACACGACACTCGCGTGCAGCCAGTCCGGTACCCTCGCGTGTGGTCCAGGATTCACAGCCTCCCTGCCAACCCAGAGGGTGAGCGATACGCTGTTGTCACCCTGCTGTTATCCCAGTGTCCCAGATAGTGCAGGGTGGCATGGGGAGGAGGTGGCTTTTCTGCTGGGATGTCCTCTTTTTTCCATTTCCTGCTGCTGTGCTTCAGAAAGGAAGGAGATGAATCGCAGACTCCCTCCTCACAGCCTCCCTCTGCTCCTCTGCTCTGCTTGTGGCTGTGGGGAGTGCAGATGGGTAACAACTTTGGAGAGGGGAAAAGTGTTGCTTCTGTATTTGGTGGGGGGGTGTGAAAAAGGTGTTGATTCTCTATTTGGGGTTCAGAGCACCCAGTGCAGGTGGGTAGGACAGAAAACCCTGCAGCCTGGTTTTACCTTATGCTGGTCTAAGCTGAGCATGGACATGCAGGTAGTCCCTGAGGTGGAGAAGTGGTGTGAAACCTTGCCATACAAAGAGCTGACAGAGGCAGGTGGTGGGTTTGATGCTTTAAGTCTTAATTTTGAGCTGTAAAATAACTGTCAACTGTCCTTGGTGTGTTTGAGGAGAATGGATTGCAAGGAGAAAATTGGTGGTGGGGACCAGGGTTGGGTCTTGGTGATCTGGAGCAGTTTGTCACCAAGCCCAGTTGAGCTGGGGGTGTTGTGTAAAAATCTGAGAGCAGCTCATAAACTGATTTACAATGAATTCCTGGAGAAAGTGTTGCTTTCCTCTTAGAAATGCAGACGTGTGGGTGTGTCTGTTCTGCTCTTTCTCTGCGTCTTTTTTAAGCTATCAAGGCACATGGGCATGATGGATGGGATCTTCCCCCATCCGGCAGGGATGTCATTCTCCATGCAGATGGCATCCTCCAGTGGAAGCCACCCACTGCTGCTCTGCCTCTTGGGAGAACCTGAACTTTTCCATTTGATGGGAAGGGAGCTCGCAGCTCCCTGCTGACTGCTGGGAGCTAAGTGAGCAATCAACAACATGAGACCTCAGGTGGGAGAAGGTGAATTTATTTTAAAACAAAATGAATTTTGCTAGTTCACAGCCATACCACCTACTCAGGAGCACCAGCATGGGAATCTCCAAGAGGCTGTCCAGCATTTGGACAGATGTCTGTCCAGATGGTCTGGACAGGATTCCTTGCAATGACACAATAAACAAGGAATGCCAAATATCAAACCTCTGGTGTCTCTTGGACAGTTTGGTGACCATGTGATGACTTTGGTTCTGCTTTTTTGCATCCCTTGGGGGCTAACAGTAGTGATCTCTTCTTGTTGGAATTTGTTCACTGGCCTTTGTGTGTGTGGCTCCTATCCCATTCTTTCCCAAATCATCTCTTAATGGTCTTGAGTCTTTGTTGATGCAGATTGTCCCTTGTTTCAAGAGGTTCCTTGTTTTCCAACTGAGAAGCCGCAGCTGTGTGTGCTGTGATCTTGAGGAACTGCTAAATCACTGCCCTCAGCACAGGCTGTTTATTACACCCTGTGTTCCTCTGGGTGCTTCTGTACTCCTTCCCATCTGTTTTTTGCTGGGATCACACTCAACTAAAAAAGTATATATGCTGTGATTTGCAAACCATGTGTAAAGAATTGTCTTCTGGCTTTTCTGTGCATAATGCTGCACAGAAGGATTTGCAGGACTCATCCTGGATCAAAACTAAGCAGTCAGAAGCCTGAATAGAGCTGATGGTGTAGCCCTGGAGCTCAGATCAGTGAGAAGAGTTTGGGAACCACTTGTGTAACCAAGTCATTCCTGCACACAAGTGTTTGGGAAGCATTTGGCAGCTCATGTTGGAGTGGTCAGAGCATAATGCTGCCAGGAGCAGTGCTGAGCATGGATGGGGAGGAGCTTGACTTGGTGCTCCTGGCTAGTGAGTGTCTGTTTGAACTGGGGTCAGCGTTTACAGATCTGTCTAACACAGATGAGCAGTAGCCTAGGGCTGGTTTGGTACAGATCTGCAGTGACTTGGGTGGTGTTTGGTGCCACAAACCGTAGGAAGCAGAGTCTCCCTGAAGAGGTTTGCTCTAAATGAGCAAGAGAAGTTGGTAGGATTGGCAGGGAGTGCGTGGTGGTACCTCACTCACCCTCAGCCAGAGGGTTTTGAGGCCGCTCTGCTCCTCTGTAGTCTCCTAAATGGATAGTGAGCATCCTCTGAGAATGTCAGAGCTTGTTTCCCTCTCATGTGACTCCTGTGGTGTATGGATACAGGGTGGGGGGATTTGGGGCATCATTCTTAGCTCCCTGTGCTCTTTGTTTCTTGCTACAGGTCCCCAGGAGAAAATGGTGTGAGACCAGCCAGCACGGCTGCCACTTTGAGTCTCGGCGTGCCCAGACCTCAGGGAGGAACATGGCAGCAGCTCAGGGAGCAGGAAGCAGTTCAGCTGGGCCGTCAGGACTCTCTGGTCCTGCCCCGGGGCACAGCAGCAGCTCCACGGCAGTGGCAGTGTGGGAATGGCAGGATGAATTTGGCAGGTGGAGGCCATACAGAGGGAACGTCTGCAGCTACATCGAACAGGTTTTTCAGGCCTCTCAGCAGAAGGGACGGCGCTCGGGATCGGGGCTTGTCAGCAGCATCCCTTTGGGACAGGCAGATCCCGTCCTGGCTCCCTATGTCATTGACATTCCCAGCTTGACACAGTTCCGCCAGGATACAGGTAAGGGAGCTCCCCTGCCTGTGCTGGGGTTTTGCTTGTGTGCTCTCCCAGCACTGCTGCCAGTGTGATTGTCCTGCTCTGCACTGGTGCAGCCTCACCTTGAACACTGTCTGCAGTTTTGGGCATCACAATGTAAGAAAGATACTAAGCTGTTAGAGAGCATCCGAAGGACAGCAGCAAAGATGGTGAAGGGCCTTGAGGGAAAGGCTGCATATGAGGAGCAGCTGAGGGCACTTGGTCTGTTCAGCCTGGAGGAGACTGAGATCAGACCTCATTGTGGTCTGCAGCTTCTTCATGAGGGAAGTGGAGGGGCAGCACTGATCTTTTCTCTCTGGCAACCAGTGACAGGACCCAAAGGAATGGCTTGAAGTTGCATCTAGGAAGGTTTCAGTTAGATATAAAGAAAAGATTCTCCCCCTTAGAGGGTGTTTGGGCGCTGGAACAGCTCCCCAGGGCAGTGCTCACAGCCCCAAGCCTGACAGAGCTCCAGAAGCATTTGGACAATGCTCTCAGGCACATGGTGGGATTGTTGGGGATGTCCTGTGTAGGACCAAGAGTTGGACTCAGTGATCCTCGTGAGCCCCTTCCAACTCTGAATTCTCTGTGATTCTGTGATCATCATGAGACCCCTCAGAGCTTGTGAGAAGAGCCCTCAGAGCTGGAAACTGCCCCCACCCACATCCAGTCAAGACCACTTGCGTAAAAAAGGCCTTTTTACGATCCCACCCCTCCTGCTTGAATCCCTTGTTCCCTCTGGAACTGGAGTGCCAGCTGCTTTACCTTGGCATGGTGCCCTGCACAAGCTGCTTGGCGAGAGCCTGCAGCCCCCGCGCAATGCTGGAATGCTGCAGCAGAATATTCCCTGCACTTGTGCTGTGTGAGCCTGGCTGCTTCCTCCCAGGGAGGAAGGGCAGGATGGGCTTAATGGCAGGCTTGAGACCTGGTTTTCATTCTTCTGTCTCCTGTGGTCACTGAGGTTAGCAGCTCAGAATTCGCTATGATGACTCTTACCCTCTTTTGCTGCAGATGTGCTGAGCAGCTGGAGCTTAGAAAAGGGCAGGGATGGAATGCATGCACTTCATCCCTGGAAAATCCAGGGAGATCCCAAATTACACGCCCCAAGTGAATGGCTGCTTTGGAAAATTCTCCATCCATCAGTTTCCACTTTGCCAGCGTGTCTCCCATCACCTCAGGCCACAGTCAAGCATCCCCCAAGCTTTAGAGAGGGGTAATGTGTTGGTTTCTTCCCAGCTGAAGCAGTAAGTGAGCAATATTTTGAATCAACTGCACAATCAGCCAATTCCTACAGGAAAAGGAAGTGGTTGGAGCAAATGTGAGTGGTCATCACAGCTGCATCCGTGGTTTTATTCTGATTTGGTGATCTTAGGCTTAGTTTTTCAAGCATGTCCTCAATGGGGTGAGGAGCTTTCTTAACTGGATGCCTTTACAGGTGTGCTCAGCCTGACCTGTTTGAGCACCTGTAAGCCCAGCTGAGGCTGTGGCTTCAAGCACCAGAGCTGGCACCAGCACCTGTTTTTTTCCTGGGTTTTTTTCATGCCAGACTTGTGGAGGAGCCTTCCAGCCTCTTGCCCTTTCAGCCAGTGCTCCAACACATGGGCAGCAGCCTCGAGCTGTTTGGTGAAGGTGAGCAGAGAGCCTGTAGGAGGGTGAAAGATGTGTCCCAGTGTGAATGGAACATTCTTTTCCACGAGTACAGCTCTCTGTTCTTAGAGGTTTTGTATCTGCTTTAGAGCCTTGTGAAAGATCTCAAAACATCCAGTGAATATTGTCTATCTCAGGGTGGCATGGAGTTGGTCATCTCCGGGGGACAGTCCAGTACAATTTTGGAAATTATGTTGGCTGATGTGATCTCATCTTTCCTTGCATTAGATCTGAGTTTGAGCCATTACTAACAAAAAGGTTGATTCTGCTCTACAGCTCTCCGGCAGTGTTTTCCACTGATCCAGAGGGATGCTGATCAGAGTGGCCAGGGCTCTAAACCTCCCACTGTGTACCTGTGTGCTCTGCAATGTGACTATTGGAAACTCTCTCATATCCCATTCCGTGGCCCAGTTCTGAGCAAAGCTTTTTCTCTCTGCAAGGCTCTGCCTTAAACGTGAACCTTTCTGAGCAAGCCGCCAGCTGACCTTTGTCATGAGCTGCAGAAAAGAATCTCTGCAGGAAACATCCTCATGAAAAAAATCTTTAAACAGAGCAAAAAATAGGCTGTTGTATTCTTCTCATTAGCTATTAGACAGATAAATAGGCTCTTCAAAGGAAGCCAGGGAGAATAACAGGAAGCCAGTGTTAACGGGAGCAGCATCCCCACCGGCGGGGAATGACAGCTGTGCGGGGGGATCTGGTGGGCAGGATTAGCCATGGGCTTCAGCTGCTGGTCGAGGCACATTAGCTGGGAGTGAATGCAGGGGAGCAGCAGGAGCTGTCCTTGCCACAGCTGTTTGCCCACCCCGGAGAGGAATGCTGGTTTCCCTGCCAGCCTGGGGGAAGGGGGATGTTTCCCAAAGCATGGCGTTGGTCTTGACTCCTGAAAGCTCTTCTCCCTGCTGCGGTTTGGGATGTTAAAAACACAAGTTGCTTGCAGACTCCTTGAATCATCTCTGTACTGCTTTCAGCTTCTGACCTGCCAATGGAGCAGGGACAGGCTTGTGAATCTCCTGACATATGCCTTTGTGTCAGCTCTGGAGCTCAGCTCTGTCTTTCCTCATTTAGTTTCTGCAGTGACATGTGGGACGTACCTGCACAGGGTCTCGTTTGGTCTGACCACCAAAGTGCTGTGCAGAAAACACCAACACTTCACCAAGAAGTCTGTGAGGGTGATAGCAGCAGAGATGTGACTTTCATGCTGTTGAGCAGGATTTTTAGCAGTGAGGAGACAGTTAATGCTCTCATTGTTTGAATCAAGTCCTAGTAGTTTCTGTAGTATCCCAGTACTAAGGGGTGGAAGTAACATCAGCATGAGGCAGAGATAGTCAAGCCAGCATTCAGGCAGCAGTCAGGTTTTGGCAGTGTGGAGTCCCTTGTGGACTGTCCTCCTTCTTCCTTGGAGTATACTTGGGCATAAAACTTGCCTGCATTGCCTGTGCCCCACACAGTCACTAGTGATATCCTGGGGCAGTTCCCCCCCCCCAGGCTTTAGGGGTGGGTACATGTGCCTGTTTTCACCTGGGGTCCTGGAGCATAGTGCCATAACTCTCATGACCTCTTTAGAGGCTTCATTTATTTTTTTTCCTCTTGGTTCTGTACTTTGAACTTGCTTCCCCTGTGGCATTTCTCACTCCTCTTTCTCCATAGAGTGCTAATGTGGGTTTTCCCAGCAGCAGCAGTTTTGACCCTGCTGCAGGAACTTGTTTTTGCAGAGGCTGCAGAGCTTCTGTCCTGTTGGGTGGCTTGCCTTTCTCTCACTAGGCTGCTGCTTTTTTTTGAAGAAAAGGCTGAAGTACCTAGGAGTGCAGTCACCCTGGAGCACCAGGCTTCCAGGGGGTTCGAGCTCCTGCTGTCACTGTTGTGCAGTCTTGCAGGTGTAGTGTATCTGCTTCGATTTCTCTCCCTTTGTCTGAACAGCTGCTCTCTCCAGTTTCCAAATTACTTCATTGTCTTCTCCTTTCTAGTCTTGCTCTGTCTCACAGCAGTCAGGAGCCTGGAGAAGCTGACCCTGTCTGTCCATTTTCCAGAGTTCTTATTCTTGCCCCTGTGGACCTTCATCCACTTCCCCAAGAGCGAAATGGCCCAGACCCTTGTGTTGTAACGTGGGTGTTCAGCCCCTTAAACACTCCTGCGAAGCATTTCTTGATGGTGTGGTGTCTCTATAGTTACTCTGTTGTCAAGGCTGTGGGAGTTAGGGTTTTTTTTAACCAGATCTGTGCCTCAGCCTGATTTTTTTTTCTACTTTTTTTTTCCCCTTTTTAACGTCAGGGAGGCATATGTGATCACTGTGCCTTTGTGCTCGGGTGTGTCTGCATCCTCTCTCCTTCCCTCCTTTCCCACCCTTCCTCCCAGCAGCTTTTGAACCTGTTGCCAGCCCACAATCAGATTTGGCAGAGAATCTCGGGGATATTGCGTTTCTCTAAGCTTCACGAGCAAACCCAGCCCTGTTGGGAAGAGAAGGTGTGTTAGTGCCCCTGTTGAGAGAGAGGTGGGGAAGGCCACTGTGTAGGCACCACAGATCTGTGCAGAAACCTGTCCCTGAGACAGCATCCCACTTAATTCTCAGAATCACAGAATCAGGTTGGAACTTACCACAAGGGTCATCTGTCCAACCTCCCTGCTCAAGCAGGGCCATCCTAGAGCACATGGCACAGGATTGCATCCAGATGGTCCTTGAATGTCTCCAGTGAGGGGGAGTCCATGAGTGCTTGGGCTATCTGTTCCAGTGTGCAATGACTGCACAGTAAAGAAGTTCTTCCTCATACACAGGTGGATTTTCCTCTGCAATTCTCTGCTCTCCAAATAACTATGTTTATTTCCCCCTCTCTCCCCACACAGGGACGATGCGAGCTGTCCGCAGGCAACTCTTCCCGGGAGACTCCGCGGCCGGGCAGGGCATTGTCTGGGAGTGGCAGAACGACGAGGGCGGGTGGTCCCCGTACGAGATGAACGTGTGTGTGTTCCTGGAGCAGGCACGTGCCACCAACCACCAGCGAGTAGATCTTGGACCCTTGGGCTACAACTATGAAGTTGACTTTGTGGCTCAAGTCCAGACTAACAAGACCACGAGGTTCCGCCGCAGCGTTCAGAGGCGGTTGGACGCGCCATACCCGGTGACAACCTCCCCAGCACCCCTTCACACAGGGGTAGGTTGTTCTTGCCAGCAGTGCTGGATGAACAGTGGGACTGGTCCAATCACCACACGCTACCGCCACTCCATGATAAACTTTCCCAACTCTTCCACTACTCATCAGGTTCCCGGTAGGACAGCGTCAGTAAGTTCTTCCAGCGTCGGCTTCGTGCCCTATAACAAACCAACTTTGACTGGAGCAAGGTCAACACCAAGACTCAATGCACAGAGCACCTGGGCTTTGGCTCAGCCTGGGGGCCTCAGCTCAGGACTGTCTGCATCTAACGGAGTCAGGTACAGACCCTAATTCACCTTTAAATATGTGTCTAAGAGATCTGCTGTGCTCAGGTCTGAATTAACTAGGAGCCTCTCTGTGCCAGAGGACTTTACAAGGGTCTTCTCCATAGAGGGAGAGAAGGGTTTGTGCTTGTGTATCCAATGCAGTGGATGAAAAGGCTTTTCCTCTGCTTTCCACTTGAAATATAGTCCCTGTCCACCAGTCTCCCTGAACCACTGGAGAAATCAGATTGAGATTCTGCAGGTTTGAGAAAATGAATAGTCATCAGTGCTATTTTAGGTTAGGCTTAAAAACCGCTTTGAGGAGGACCGATTGAATGAAAAGGGGACTTGTAAACACCCTTATTTAATTCAAATTAGGCAGTAAACATATAGCAGAACAGTGCTCCATGTTCAAAGTTCTTCCCCTTCAAGGAGGGACCACAAGATTGGTTGCGTACGGCAGAGACCTTATGAATTCTCTGACAAAATCAGGTGTCCAGGCTATTTGTCAGCCTAAGTACTGATGCAGAGCAGAGATGCCACTGGATCCATTTTCACCATGGCTCTTCTCTGACAGGGCTGAAACTGGTGTGCATCTCGTAGCCCAGGATTTCAGCTCTCATCAGTGAGCAGTGGGAGCCAAAGCGAGGCTGTATTTGCACCTCCCTGGTGGGGGAGGAAGGGCTTTACTACTCTTTTGGCCTTTTGGTTGCTGCCAGCCCAGTGAAAAGGAAAGCCTTGTGGTCTGACAGCTCCTCCCCATGGCACGGGCTGCTGAGGTAGGCCACTGTTGGTTATCCCACTTTCAGGTTCTTAACTCTTTCTGTGCACAGCCCTTGCTAGCAGAGGTCTGTGTGGCCTGTCTGTGGCAAAGCTGGCACCTAGCATCTGACCAAGCAAGGGCTGGCTGACTGCTCCCTCTGTTTGTGAATGGCTGGAAGTGTGCAAAACCTTACACTCTCTTCATTGGGAATAATCCAGCTGTGAAACCACAGTGTGAGCCCCTGAGAAACTACAGAGAATCTTGCCAGGGCTGATTTACCTGTCCAAGCTACCCCAAGTAAGTACAGAGATAAGAGATCTAGCAGAGTGTTGGAAGCACATTCTTGTAATTACACGAGGCACAGAGATTTGAGGTTTAATTTGAATCTCATTTGCATTTTAAGCAAGACAGTGAATTTTAAGATTTTCCTTAGTGTTGTGTCAGGACTTTCCATCTTTGGGGTCATCTGAGTGAAATGACTTCTCACATCCTGTTTTTCTTTCTCACGGTCTCTTTTTGGTGCTTCTTTTTGCACCTGATGACTTCTTGTGGTGCTTTAAACATCCACAGTACTTCTCTGTTCCAGTCTCCTTTGAACAGAGCTGAGAATCAGACCTCAGCACTGCCTGCATGAGCCCCAGCAAGGCTCTTACTGTCTTCTGAAGAAGCTGCCAAATTCCCCCTCTCTCAGGAATCACTGGTTGGTTTGAGGGACCACCGGGCTGCCTGGAGCCCCAGTCCTTCCCAAAGCCTCAAAGTGATTTGCAAAGTGATTCTCAGGTTGGAAGGTTAAAAAAGAAGAGCCAAGTGCAGCAGCAGTTGCCCCACAAGCCTGTCTGGAGCCGATCAGGGTCTGGGTATGTTGTGTGCTACTGGGGGGGGCACAGATTGTCCTGAAGGGAGGGAGGAGGGAAGAGAGATGCTCAGAGAGGGGTGGCACAGGCTCCTTACCATGAACTGAGCCCATAGCCCAGGTGATGCTGACTGGGAGGAGAGGGATGGCCGGGAGGAGATCTGGAGATGCTCAGCAATACCATGGCTGGTAGAAGTTGGTCTGTTTCAACCTGTTTTGCAGCTCAGCTGTGTATGGTGTCCAAGGGGTGAGATGGCTGGTGACCTAGCAATCATCCCTGGCCAAGCCAGCCTTTCTGGGGGATGTGAAGGGATTGTACAGTTAAATCCTTGCTGAGGACAGCAGGACATGCCCCACAGGGCAGGTAGCAGCTCCTCAGACACCTGGAAAGGCAGTGTGTGAATGCTGGCACTCTGTGTGACAGGCACTCTGTGCAAACCCACACCCCCAGCTGAGCCCCACTCCCCTGTCTGCTGGCAGTCTGCCCTTGGGATGTGATCTCCAATCTCTTTGGGATTATTTTTCCCAGGGGCACTCTCCTTACTTCCTTCCAGACAGCCAGGGGTCAATCTCCATCTTCCAGTAGCATGCCATATGTGAAAGGGACTTTTTCATGCCCAGCTGACAGCTCAAAGTGGCTTTTCCCCATCACCACTGTGCTGGGGTTGAGTCGGAAATGCCTCTGGGTGGGTATAATTGCTCCTGGCTGGGGTTACAGTCTCAGGCTCGTGAAACCCATGTTCCAGCAGAAAATCCTTTAATTTCTATAAATTAGGAGAAACCCGAGTAGCAAACTCTAACAATGTGTTTCATTTAATTCCTAAGCCCAGAACATTCCTGGGTTATTTTATCCCCTAGTTTCCCCTTCTTCCCCTCCTCGGCTGGATGTGGTGTGGGGGTTAGTTCCTCTTCCCTCACAGTCACTGTCCTGCATCACCCAATAGTCCAGACTTTGTGGCTAATTATCCTGCACTAACTACCCCACCAAAGGTGTCTGGCTGTGTCCAGCATGCAGCATTGCTTGCTCCTCTTAACAGTGATGTGCAATTCCTGTGCCTGGCCTGTGCCCAGAGATTGAAGGGAAGGGAGCAGTGGGCCGTGGTGGATCCTCTGGTGTCTAATAAAGGTTGTGTTGTGCTCACAGCCTTTGGCTCCAAAGCAGCTCTGACAGATTATTTGCTTTTACGAAACTGCTGATCTTCATAAAGCTTGCAGGGATGACCCAACTCCTGCCTCTTGGCACTGAGCTGCAGCTGGCAGAAGGGCTCAGAAGCTGGTTGGGAGAGACTGAAAGATGATGTGGCTGTGTACACCCAGTTTCTTTATTAAACGCAGCTAAAAATGGCAGCACTGAAACAACCATCTCTCCTGCAGGGCTGAGAAAGAGGTGTAGTTCATCCTGGAAAGCTGCCTGACTCCCTGTGTGGCTGTGACAGTTATTTCTAGCAGGCAGGCAGGGGTAGCCCCCAGAAGGGGCTGTTAGGACAGGCATGTCTGGGCTCCTGTGGTATTGACAGGGATTAAATGCATTTCCTGCTTGCTGGAGGCAGATGCTTGTGGGAGAGCAGGCAGAACTCTGGCACTGCAAAATGCAGGTTTAATTTCCTCCTGCTCTCAAGAGGGTCAGAGTGGCTGGAAAGCCCAGAGAAGAGTGCCAAGGCTTAACTAGATGCTAATATCCTTGGCTCTGCTGCTAATGTATTAAATACATGTGGGCAAGTTATTTTGCTTCTTGAGCATTAGTTTTCTCCCATGTATTAAACACAGTTAATGAGTGTGACCTCTCCCAGACAGTGCTGGAATCTGCAGATGGAGTGTGCCATGGCAAGACTTCTGTCCTTATCTCAGCACTGTTAACTGGATCTGGGAAACAGGAGTCAGCTCCCCAGGATCCCAGCCACCTCCTGGCACAATCCTTCCCACCTCACGTGGGAAAGCATCCATCCCTGGGGCAAGAGCTACCCTGTTCTCTGCGCTGTGCTGGCTAATTACAGAGTAGGGCACTGCTGAAACACAGTAAGGAGTGCCCTGTGTGTAATATGAGCAAGTAAAGCTGCAGGAAGCAATCTTCTGGGGGATATTAATTAGTTGCCCAGCCAGACAAATCCCTGCTGTAGCTCTGCTGGCCCCTCTGAGCTTATGTGGCTTTGCCTGCTGGTCTGGGTTGTGCCTGCACATAAGGCAGGCAGCTGCCGGGGCAGGATTTTGTATATAAAAGCATGAGGAATGGGGTCTTGCAGACTGGGGAAGGATGCTGAAAGTATTGGGGTGTTCCTAAGAAGGGTCTGGTGCTGTACCCCCAAATTTCCTACAGTCAGCAACCCACAGTCAGTGCTTTGTAGGATCAGGAGGGACCAGAACCTGGGCAGGGCCTTTCCTTTTTGCTCTCCTCCTTTGCATCTTTCAGCTTTGTCCATAGGCAGCTCCTTGGCTGCTAAGGAGGGGCTCTCCAGGTGCTGGCTCCACTGTGCGCATCGTGACTTGTCTGCAGCCCTGTTAGCCAGCGTGGTTCTGCCACTGGGTGCTCTTCCCATGTGGGACCAGGGGAGTCTCCTCTGCTTGGTGCCAGGAGCAAAATCACAAATCCGTGTGGCTGCATGCATTGCACCAAAAGGTCCTCCCTTTGAGACATTCAGTCTGGGTTTTGGCATCTTCTTGAGAAGGAGAGTAGGGGAGAAACAGCAGTTTGGTCATTAGTATTACCAGATACTCGGTGAGCCCTGGGAGAGGGGTTGGACCTTCAGGTAGCACTTGGTGTTGGTGTTAGTGTGAGTTAGGTTATGCTGCCCTGATCTGTGAGAAGTGTTGGCCAGAGAGGTCCAAAGTTGCCATGAAACAGAGATATTTGACCTGTTGGCTGGTGTGCAGGGGGAGAAGAAGGAAGCAAGGGCTTGGCTCAGGTGGAGAAGGTGACTTGCTGAAGGCTTCCCCAGTGGTCTCCATTAGGATATTGTGTGTGTGTATGGCTTAGGTCATGTTCAGGTCAAACCTGGGCACTAAGTGTTTGAAGAGGCAGCAGCCATGGATTCCAAGCTGTGTACAACATGCTTCCTGGTGCTTTGCTGTCTCGCTGGTGTTGCAAAACCTTGAAATTCTGGAGAAGGGAGAGATTTTGTCGTACTGCCCTGTCTGCCCCTGTAGCAGATTGCCTGGGAAACAGTGGTGGAAATCTTACCAGGATCTTCTTGCTGCATCTCTGAGGACAGTGTCTTTTTTTTGTGTCTGACAGTTCTCAGAGCAGTGTCTTTACTCACAACCTGGTGACCCCTGTTGCACTGTCACCTCCAGCACACAGAGCAGTGGAAGAGCAGGAGCTGCAGCAAAGGGCAGGACAAAATTGGGCCAGGAAGGAGGAATTAATACCAGGAAACATTTAGAGAATTCAGGCGTTGACTTTCGGGTGTTGCAAGCACAACCTGAACACTTGGCTGGCAGTCAGAGGCACTGCCTGGCTGGAAACCTCCAAGGGCAGCAGGAGCAGGTGCCTCAATGGATCCCTCTTATCTCTCTGCTCTGCAGCACTTGCTCTTGCACTCATGCTCTCCAGATCTCTCTTACCCAAGACCCCACCAGGCTGCCTGCATCAACTTTTCTTCTAACAGCCTGTTTTCAATAAATCAGCATGATCTCAGCCCAGCCTGGCTCCAGCTCTCTCCCAAGGAACCAGCCCTGGTAGGGCCGTGCTGGAGTAGCTTGAGTGTGAACTGCTGGATTAAATACGTCTGTTGATGCTGTTCTTGGATTGGAGGCACAGCCCTTGTTACATTACAATAGCAATATCCTTCCTTGTTACCTCTTCCCCTTCCTCCTCCAAAAACCCCACTTCAGACCCAGGGGAGGCTCCGAGTAGTGTTTCCGCACCTTTTTTGGCATGATGGCACTTCCTCTTACACTCTGTGGCTGCAGACCTACCCAGGCAGTGTTGTGGTACCTCAAAGCAATATGGATTTCCCTTGATTTCATCAGCCTTTGGGCTTTCTGCAGTTGTAACAGAAATCAGGAGTGTGGCAGCTGTGCTGGGATACTGCCATGGTACCCAGGGGATGGGTCAGCACATCCTACAGCGCTGTTAGCTGAGGTGCTGCTAACTGAATGTGTGTGCTTAGCCCTTGTGAAATAAGTATTTCATTTCTCCATCATCACATCAGTTGGCTTAAAGCCTCCAGCAGTCAAAGCTGACACACTTTGCCTCTACACCAGGAGAGCAGCTGATCAGCGACTGTTTCCTGGCTCATGGATCTAATTTATCTGCAGTGCACTTCCAGCCTCCCAAACCTGATTGCTTGCAAAGGCATCAATTGCTTGTCTGTTTCCTTTAGCAGATCTCGAGGGCTTTTCTCACTTCTGTCGTGGTTTGACCCAGCAGCCAGCTGAACACCACACAGCTCACTCCATCCTCCCCCAGTGGAAGGGGGGAGAGAATTGGAAGAAAAAAAAATGTAAAGGTTGTGGGTTGAAATAAAGACAGTTTAACAGGACAGAAAAGGGAAGGAAAATAGTAATGATAGAAGAATTAAAGTATAGAAAACAAGTGAAGTACAGTGCAATTGCTCACACCCACTGACCAATGCCCAGCTGGTTTCTAAGCAGCAGCTCCCAGTCAGTTTTTATGCTGGTTTCTATACTGAGCATGACATCGCAAGGTATGGAATATCCCTTGGGTCACTTGTGGTCAGCTGTCCCAGCTGTGTCGCCTCCTCGCTGGTGAGGTGAGGAGAGAAAAGACGTTGCCTTAGTGTAAACACTGCTCATCACCAACGAAAACATCCCTGTGTTATCAACATTATTCTCAGCCTAAATCCAAAACACAGCACTGTACCACCTACTAGGAGGAAAATTAACTCTATCCCAGCTGAAACCAGGGCAGGTTCTAGCTCCTAGGTGACTTGGACTTGAGCCTCAGTTTTGTGATTTGTTGTATATTTACTTTCCATGGGGAAGTGAAAACACCCACGGTGGCTGCTGCATCTCATGGTGTGACAATAAAGCACAAACTCTTCAGTATCTGTCACAACCTGGGGTGGAGGGGGTGCCCAGGCACTGTGTTGTCTTCTGGGCTGGGAAGGTCCAATGCCTCTCTGATTTTTGGGTGCAGGACTCAAGTTCCTTTTCATGATCTGTTCCTCAAATACCCTCTGTGTCTGCAGCTGGAGAGGGAGCAGTCCTGCTCCTTGCCATCATCTGAAGAGGATCATAGGGGTAGAATGAAGCAAAGGGATGAGAAAGTGCTGTGATTACGAGGGTAAATCAGGAAAGAAAAAGGTCTTCAGGGCATTGGATTCAAAGCCCTTTGAAATTCCAGGGAGGATTTTCCCTGTATTTGGTGGGTTTGAATCGTAGCCAGAACAATCTGTTGCATCATTTGCAGATATTGCACAACTGGGGACAGCAGAAGGGGAAATTCTGTGGTCTGGAGAGCTTTATAAGGGTCTGGAAGAGCTGCTCTGGCTTGACCAGTCTGTCAATGCACACCAAGCTCTGGGTCCTGCCCGGAGGTTCTTCAGGGAGCTCAGTGCACGTGCAGGAACCCATTCCAAACTGTGACAGGTAGGAGAGGGGGAAGGTGGGGATGCCTTCAGCTTGGAAAGGTGGAAGACAGCCACACTTCATTCACAAATTTCAGCTTTGGTCATTATCATGGAAATGTGAACAGAAATGTTAGCAAGACTGAAAAGGTGAACTTTTGTGGTGCTATTTTGGGTACAGTGGCAGCTCTTGCGTCCCTGGAAAGAAGGTTGCCCCTAAACAATAGATGAGATTTGGGCTCTGGACCTCCTTAGTCTCTGAATTCATAAGAAGCTGGCCAGGTTTGATTCTTTTTGGGGGAGACCTTGGAGATGTGAATGCAGTGTATTGACTGCAGCTGATGAGCAGGAGCCTGCATCCATCCCAGGCACATGTGCCACCCGAGACAAAGTCCATGGGTGGCTTCTCTGTGCCAGCACATTGGATTTCAAATGTTCCTGCTCTGCTCCTGTGGATCCAGCTTGTTTTCTTGTCTAGTGACCCCCTTATCAGTGTTCATGCTGCTGCTCCCCTTCACTTCCTAATTCCTGCTATCAGGTAACAGCATGACCCTGGCTGCCCACATATCCCAGACTAACTTGGGGTGCAGCTGTCAGTGCTGGGAAGCACTCCTAAAACAAGTAGGTGAGGACCCTGAAAGGGATGTTTGGTGTCCCAATCCTCTTGATTCTCAAACAAAAATGGGTGCAAAACTCTTCTAAGTCTCCTTCAGTCTTTCCTCCTTTGTTCCCACATTCCCCTTGGATGCATAGTGCAAGTTGGCACCTCATGGGAAGCTCTGTGGTGGAGTAGCCAGAGCAGGGATGCACCACCTGATCAGAGCAGGGTCTAGCAGGAAGAAGGGATGAGTCAGGCCCAGCATCCAGCTAGAAGGAGATAGGGCTGGAGGCAGCTATGTTCAAAATAGCTCTGAGATCCACCCTGGAGGTAAGTTAACTTAGTAGAGAGCTGTGGCCCCTTAAATTCAGCTGCTGGAGCAGTGGGTGAAGGGTGCATGGGTGAGGGTCCCAGCTGGGGCTCATCTGAGCAGTTAATCCCTGCTAATTTATCCAGGGCCCTTGTACTCAGGAGGGAGCAGAGTACTGCTGGTTTGTTTTGTTAGTGATTGTTCCATGCTGTTGAACTCATCTACTTTTCTCTCTATATAGTGCCCCAAACCTGCCTGTCAAGATGCCCAAATCCAGCAAGGTGAACCAGGCCCTGGCAGGTAAGGATCCTACTCTGCTTTCCTTGCCCTGTCCCTAGGTTAGGTGAACAAGCAGTTTGTCTTTTCTGTGGCACTTACTTTCCTTTGCTGGCTTTTAGGCAGAGTCTGAAATGTTGCTGGTGTCTAAGATTTGAGACCTAAAGACTTTTCTGAAAAGCATAGAGGGAAAAGTTGGGGGAGAATGGGTGGACAAAAAGTAGTCACTGTTTCTCTCGTCAGTGCTGGTCCTGAGGCTCTCAAAATGAGTGGGTTTATTTGAGGCATGGCTATTCATCCTGTCCTATATGTGTAGATGAGCAAGTAGCAAGGGAAAAGGCACATGAATCAAGCTGCTATTTGCTGCTTTTTTTGAAGTCAAGAGGGAAGAGTGGTGTGAGATAGTGTGTGGGTTTTGATGTGACTTTTTAATGTGGTTTTATTACAAAAGCTCAGGTGGCCTTTAGCTTAAAGAGTATTACGATGCCTTGTCTTGGAGAAAGAGGAGACAGAAGTTGAATCAGACATTGTCTCCTGTAACAGCAGAATACAGGTTTGCTTGTTATCCAAACCTGTGAACACAATACTAAATATACTGAAGACTGGGCCTGGGAGGGATGAAAGTGTCAGTTTTCAATGCTTCTTTTCAGAGTAGATTTGCCTGTTGAAGTTAAAATGGTTCTGCCTTGAAAACGACACCTCGTGCTTGCAGCTTTCAGTGGAAGCCTTGCCATACAAAAAGCCATCAGCACCTTTGCTCTGTTTGACTCAGCCAGTGCCAAACCATGGGACCCTGATGTGGTGGTGGTGCTGGGGGTTAGGGTGCTCTGCCCAGAGCTGAGGTCTTCTCCATACTGTCACCAGCTCTGCACTCAAACTATATCATAACATGGTAACCTGGGGTAAAGCAGTGGAAAAGACCTGATGTCTGGTGTTTTCTGTGTCTGTTTCAGATACTACAGAATATCTATTAACCCTCTCCTTCCTCTGGCTCTTGTTCATGCATGGTCTGTTGAGGTTATTAGCTCCTGGGACATCAAACTCTGCTCCTGAGCAAGCGGAGACACTTAACATTCTTATTTTAAGAGACAGTGGTTACCACCTTATTCCAGAAGAGGTGATGGTGTTTGGTCTCTTCTCAAATGCCAGGCTTTACCCTGCCTAAAATTGATCCCCAGGATTGGTGTTTCCTTTTTTCTAATGTTAGCATCGTTGTGAAAACTGTGCCTTGCATGTCTCTGTGGCCAGACGGGCACTGCATGGAGACTAACCCTGGTGTCCTCTGACAGCATAGCATGCAGCCCATCTGTCTCTTTGTTAGCAAATCACTGTGCAAAGGTGTAGAGCCAAGCTCAGGCCTTGTCTAGGTGGATGACCTGAACAGAACTCCCATTGCTTGTGGCAATTCTGGATTTTATCCCCTAGCTGTTAGCACTGACTTTGCAATTAAGTACTTAATTACAGAAAGGTAAATACAGCAAAGAATTGAAGAGCCCTGGTGAATCCAGGCTGTGGTGATGTTGTTAACTGTGATCTCATTCTCCAAGTGCAAGTCATCCACTGTGGATTTGGAAGAGGTGAATTCATATGGTCCATTTATGCCTTGTAGTGTGGGAAAGCTCAGTAGAATAAGCCATTTGCTACCGTTTAATACGATAAGCTTGTAATTGATATCTCTAGGGGTGCAAAAGAGGGGGATAATTATTCATTTTAATACTGTTTAATTGTTATGAGGCATTCAGCATGAAGCACACTGGGCTGAGTGTGGTCAGTCCAGAAGCAACTCCTCAGGGCCAGTGTCTCCTTCAGATCAAGGACTGCTGCCTTCTGCCAAGTGTGACAGACCTCAGAGGTGCAAGGGAGGAGAGAAATCTGAATTTGAGTTTGTCTTCAAAGTCACATAGAAGCAGAGAAAAGATTAACACAAGTTAATTAGGAAGCGGAAGGAAAATAAGTCTCTGGGGGTATTTCTGGTAAAAAGCAAGCAGCAGAGTTCTGGTAAAAAGGAAAAGTTTTATTGAAACATTGATTGGTTGGGTCTTTAGGGAGACCTTTCCCTCGATGCTCTGCTTTGTGTTCCTAGAACCTCTTCTGGGAAGTGGTATTTTGTTCATATTTAAAATCTTGCTGGTGGTGTGTGAGTTACTGCTCAGGTTATTCTCTATCAGTCTGAGCCCCTCTTGTTCCTTCAGTCCCCACTGCATGATTGCTTCCTTCAGCTTCAGGGCTAGCAGGCTGGGCACCCAAGGGCTCTGTGATGTCATGAGGGAGAGGGAAATCTCAGATGTGACTGAAGGAGGCTTTGCTTTGGGAAATGTGTCTAGAAGTCCCACTATTCTTGGTCTCCATGTCCTGGTGCCTCAATAGCTTTGGCTGTGGTTTGAAGCTGGAGACATTAACCCCCTGAGTCTTGTGCATGATCTCGAGAATCTCTCAAAGTGCACTTTTTAGGATGCAAAGGGAACTTGGGGTGGATAAACAAGAGATGAGAGATCTGTGTGTCTGAATGAGAAGTTGGGTTTCATTTGTGTGATGAGCGTCTGGGGATTTGAGTGAGGGATTTGTAACACAGTCAACCCCACTTGGTCTTCTGGAAGCACCACTTGGGGTCCCACAAATCATGAAGCTGACTTTAAAACCATGTTTTGCTTAAAGAAACCCAACTAATTTATTTTCCCTTGCTTTCTGCTGTTTTAATACTTGGAAGTGCATGTTGAAACTTGTCTTCTAAGCTTTTTCTTTCCCCCTGAGTATTTGGTTGGTACAGCAAAATGCCAGAACAGAGGTCTAAGCAAACTGTTGAACCACAGTGTTGGTGTTGAAGGATCAGCTGGACTAATATCTCTTAGAAATAATGGAGTTTAGCTGGTGTGCCTTGGGGCTGAGGGGTGGGCAAGGTGCTCATATAAAGGCCTTTCTAATACTATTTTTAAAGTAAAAGCTGGAAATGAGTTCTTTGTTAAATAAAACCAAGTGTTTCTCATTCACATGATTCCTCGAGCTGGGGCATTTAGGAACATACTAACCATAATGATGTTGCTGGTGGATATAATTGTACAAATTAGCAATGCTTTTCTGAGTTCTCACAGTATTTGAAGCTAAGCTCTGCCCTGGACCAGTCTGAGGCCTGTGCAAATACAGGTCAGTAGCCAGAGCTGGTGACTGGAAGGGAATGTTGGGCTGGGAGTGACTAAGTGTGTGGTCAACACTCATTACATTATGCAAGAGTGTTTTTCCCAAGCTCAGGTTCTGCACAGGATGTTACAAAAGTCCTTTATTTACACAGCAGGCTGAGAATCATAGAATCATATTTTAGAGAAAAAGCTGGTGGATGTTGTCATAACTCCAGTAAAAATATTTTTACCCCAAGGAGTCACTCACTTTGAGCAGGAGAAAAGAGGCAGTTCTGAGTATGGCTATCACATGTGTTTATAGCATCAGATCAGGTGCCAAAGGATGCTTTGCAAGACTTTGTCTCCTCCCTCTTGTAGTCCTTGCAGAGAAGAAACCCAGTGCCCAGTGGAAAGTGTGAACATATTAAATATTTTTCAAGTTCCTGGGCTAGCTAGTGAGCAGCAGGAGCTCTCACAGAACACATGGTAGCCAAAGCAACTGTGGTCTGGGCAAGCTTGTTATATTGCAACTTAGCCCTTGTGTGTTCAGTGAGAATTTATCCAGGTCCAGGGCTACACTTGCTCCTGACATAACTTCATAGATGCCTGCAACAGGTTCTGACTTGAAATTATTGTGTCCACAGCTGAGAATTGGAGACTCAATCTGCAGGTGTGATGTGTGTCTATGTGTACTTTGTGTGAACATGCAGTCCCATGTGTGTTTCTGTACTTTGTGTGAACATGCAGTCCCATGTAAGGCCTGGGTCAGAAGAGGTCCCTTACTGGGGACTCTGCTCACCAAACTTATGGGAAGATTGTTCATGCTGAAGTTTCCAGTATTGTGTTAGACCTTTAGAGGAGGCTTTGCTGCTGGGATTTGAGATGAGCCAGAAGAGCAGTGTAACATGAGAATGGTCTTTGACTGATGGGGATTTTTTCCTGATGCTTTTTGAATGCTCTCTTGACTCTGTAGATGATTCATTGCATATTGCTCCAAAGGCAGTAGAAGGTTAAAAATTGGCCAAGAAGACCTAATTTCCCCACTTAGACCTTCTCTTGACCAATTGTCTGTGGGATAATGTTGGGTTAGGGTAATTCTTCTGAACCTAATTTCCCCACTTAGACGTTCTCTTGACCAATTGTCTGTGGAATAATGTTGGGTTAGGGTAATTCTTCTGGTCCCACGTTTGCCTTGTGCTGTGTGTCTGTGTGGAGTTGTGGATGGGTTTGCAGCTCAAAAAAAACCAAAAGAAAGCTCATGGAACAAAAGTTGGGGATTTTTGTGATGATTCATGATGCTGGCAGGAGATTTTGGACATAGCATTCCAGGTACAAGAAGGGCTGTGTACAGGAGGTTTTGGACACAGCATTCCAGGTACAAGAAGGGCTGTGTTAGACCTGGGGTCCTATGATTTATGCTCTTCACTTAGTCTGATTTTTGAAGGCAACGTGTTGCCCTCTGATATTGAGAGCCTGAAGTTGGTTCTTCAGCCTCTGCTTCTTTTTTTTTAAGGGCTCAGCATGCTAATGTTAGCAAGACAGTATTGATCTCTCCAGAAGAACGCATTAATTTTGCATTTGCCTATCAGTCAGCTGTGCGTGGGTGGTGATAATCCCTGTTAGTCTTTGGATTCGCATTTCAAATGTCAGTCTGTGCAATCAGTGCTTTTGCACTGCTTAGAAACAGCTTTTTCAGAGACAACTTTGCCTTTCCTTTTCTGCACCAATTCTGGGAGTTGTATTTGCAGCCTTGGTGAGGTCAGGCTGTCTGAGATGATCTCCCCAGCATCTTGTGTGTTTTTCAAGAGTGTTGTTCCTCCAGGCTCACTAATCAGAGTGAGTTGTTACTGCACTTCTGGGAATATCTCTGGCTGTCCTTTAACCCCTGCTGAAAAGGGAAAGGACCTGCCTGGTGCAGGTGACAGCTGTGGTGCTGCTGCTGCACTACAGGTGCTCAGTTGTACTCATTGGAAAAACGAATAACTTTTGTTTCCAGCAACATTTAAGCTCTTCCTTAAGGCTCCCTGGGGATTAGTGGAGTGCTGGCTTAGACGAGGGTTGAGAGCATGCAATAGTCTTGTGGTCTTTAGATCAGGACTTAAAGGATGGATCTGATGGGCTCTCCTCAACTGTGCCTACTAGAAACAGCCTGGTGCTGTCAGAAGGGTGAGGGGTACTAACCCAGTCTTTGTATGCTTTGAAGATCCTCCTCTGGAAGAACTGGGAGGCTGCACCTCAGATCTAGATCCACAATGATGGTATCCAGTGAGGGTGATCCATGGCTGCCTGCTGACCTATTTCCATTTGGAAATGCATGGTTTCACCATCCATTGTGGCTCCTGGTCTTCTGGCCAGACCAGCTCTGCCAAAAGTTCTTGGGTAACGCTGGAGAAATTCCTTCCTCCATCTGTGCCCTTCTCCCTGTGTTGTGAAACCCCTTCTGTCTGTCTTTTGGCCCTTAGATGGGAAAGTTTTAGTATCAGCATTCAACTCTGGGTATCAAGAAAGGAGTTGAACAGCTTCTGGAATATATATTGTGCTCAGACCTTAGGGGATGGAGGCACAAATTGTGGTGAGCACTGTGTAGGAGTAGTTCTGCTCATGGGACACTGACACAGGCTTTGTGCAGGGGATTTCTAGTCACAGTACACAGGTTCTTGCCTGCATATTTCTGGAGGCAGAAAATAGTCTTGCCACTTGCACACAAAGCTGATGCTTCCTGTCATAACTCAATTTTCAGTCATGTGTGGGCAAGGTGCCTCGTTTTTGTCCCGAACAAATGTGCTCTTGAATCTTCCTTTCCCAACACAGCTGAATAGAGGCTTGCAAAAATAAAATCCTTGTAAATCTCAGCTTTCGTCATGCATTACTGAGCAGGATGCTGGCAGGAATGACCACAGCATTAGGATGTGATTTTTGTGTGGTCTGCTCTCAGAGGTGACTTTTGGGGAGATGCTGGTTTTTAGATTGCCTGCTGTTGGTTTGGAACCATAAACATATTTTCAAGTTCTGCTGCTGGCTGTTGCAGGTGGGAAGTCACTTCTTGGGAAAGCCAAGGCAGGTGTTCTCTTGGATGTAAATGTAAGAGCAGTATGGTAGCTTGGAAATGTTATGACTTGTAACCAGCCTGCGTTTCACAGGCAAACATCATCTTGCATCAGCGTGATCAGTCCTGTAGTGTGCCACTTTTACCTTCAGGGAATGGCTGTCCTTTTTAATGATTCATTACCCTTATCAAACTGCATCCTATGGATACAGCTGGCTGGGATGGGGGAGGGCTAGGATTGCGTTGCAGCTGGGGGTGTGAGGGAAAACTGGAATGCTGAGGAGGAGACTGTGTGGGGTGGCAGGGGACTGTGTGGGGCAGCTCCTGCCCTGGTGTGTGAAGGCAGTTCAGCTGCACTCTGGGGGATCCGTTCGGTGTCAGACTGTTGAAGTGTGTGGCTTTAGTGGGGAGCAGCTGAGCAGGACATGTTGCAGGTGATGCCCATGATCCTTCAGGGCTGCTTCCAGGGCTCTGGTGAGCAGGAGAGCTCTGCACCACAGCAGAGTCGGTGCCTGAGGAGCCCTAAAGCCAAGGCAAAGAGGAAGGTCCTGTTCACACACCAGCACAGAGGATCACGGGCAAGACGTGCCCACATTTCCCTCCTTTAATTTGCTGCCTGGGCTTCTCCCTCTGAACACCTCTGGATCCTGTCCTTGTGCTGACTCCAACCCTGCTGCCTCTCAGATGTTTTACGTCCTCTGAATCACAAGGGCTTGGGTTTTGTTTTCTTTTATCTCTTATTTTAATTTTCTTTCCAAGGTTAAAGGTTTTTTTTAATGAATGTGTTTCCCCGTTGTCTCCCTCCTGCATGTTGATCTCGTACCCACTGTAGGCATGACAGCTATTCTGATGTCAGCCGCCGGACTGCCCGTGCACCTCACCTGTGTGCCTCAAGCTGCCAGCACCCATAAAGCCACTAAAAAACACAGCTCAGTTAAGGAGGGGAGGAAAGTGTCCAAGAAAGGTAGTTCCTGCTCAAACTCTGATATTTGCTTCCATCTTCCTTCTCTTTATCTCTCTGCACTTGTTCTGCCTCCCTCCTTTCCTCTTGTCTCTCCCCCCACCCTCTTGGCTCTTTTGATTTGATTGATGATGTTCATCCTGCAAAGGGGAGAAGCAGGACATGTCTCCCCTGACCTGCACCGTCTCTGACAGGCTGTAAAATGAGATGATGAAGTAGATGTTGTCCTGTGGTAGGTCTGTTCATTTCTATCCGTCATGAAAGCTGGAGCAGCCCTGTTCTCTGTGCATGGCAGACACCCCCAACCTCCCCTGTGGTCCCTCCTGGGGAGCCCTGGGTGCCCACACACCAGGACCTTCTCTGAGTCGTTGGAGGGGCAGGTCTGGGAGCTGAGGGACCATCAGGGAGAGCACTGAAGCCGTATGTGCTCTGAAGTGGTTTGCTTGTGAGCCATGTTTGTTGTGATTGAGTCGTGGGATGACAAGGATCTTCCAGACAAGCAGGCCCCTGAGTCATGCAGGGCTTTCTAGGTCAGATTGCAGAGGATTTGTGCTCTCCACCTGGGGTGGAAGGGAGTGGAGCAGAGCGCTCTCAGGTGGATGTGCCCTGGCAGGAAGGGATGGGTTACCTCAGCTCTCCTGCTGAGCTCAGCCACCTCCAGGACAGGGAATTCATTTCTCCTCTTCGTATCTCATTGTCATCCCTCACCCTTGCAGAGCCTGTGGGCTCCCAGTTTAGAGCCTGGATCCCATCTGTGTGTTACAGCTGTGGGACTCTGGGCATGGTGTAGCTGTAGAGTTGTTTGCCAGCCTGGCACAGTTGTTCTGGGGTGGTCAGCTACCACCAAACTTATGGTGTGTGTCTCTTTGAACTAGCAACAGCGGGGACTAGAGTTGGGGATATTCAACATAGAGATGTTTGCATTTAAGAAAGGGAAGAGCCCTGAGGTGGAGGGGAAGAAGCACCTGCCTATCTGGGGAATTTGTTGGTACCATTGTCTATCTTTAGAGTCCACAAAGTCCAAAGCTGTCTGAAAGAGGCAGGAAGGAAAATAGAAATTAAATGAGGAGGGAGGTATTTTGTGGAAACGCATTGTGGAGGGAGCTGTGAGAAGGAGGGAGAGAGCAAATGTGGAGTAGGATGTGTGATGGAGGGGGAGGAGAAAGCAGGGGCGGCAGGAGAAGCAGCAAAGAACAGGAGGAGCTAAGGAAAATGGGAGGTGAAGGAGAAGAGCTGAGCGGAGGTGGGTGGCAGAGGGGCTGGATGAGGATCTTGCGCCATGGAGCCAGCTGGCAAGGTGGTGGGGTAATGTGCCTCCTGGTGCTTCATTCCTGGCATGGGCAGTATTCATGCAGCCTTCCACAGCCAGGGATGAGGGCTGGGTGGTGGGGACACCCTGGAAACAGTGCTGAAACAGAGCTGCAGAGAGGCCAGGCCCTCCCACAGAGGCACTGCCTTGGCCCTGTCACTGGAGGAGCCCCAAAAAACTAAGGGCCAGTCCTGCATTGGTGTTGGTCATCTGCTCCTGGTATGAAGTAGCTGTATTTAGGGCATGGTGTGGCCACAGACACATGGCTGTGCTCTCTGCAGCACGGCTGGCTGCTGGCTTCTCCTCTGTGTGGTCTGTTGGTCCCAGGTGCTGCACCACTCGTGGCATCCAGCCCTCCCTGGCACAGAGGGGATGTGGGTGCAAGCAGCCAGGATGCTGTAAGGGTGGGATGTTAACAGGAGGACACATCCTGTGACTACTGAGTGGGGTGGGGAGAGCAGCAGTGCAGAGCACGAGACAGGGTGAGTGGGGAGGGTGGGACCAGCGCTGGGTGTGAGAGCAAACACAACACTGCGTTGGGTATTGACTGGGTGGCTGTAGCCATTCCGGGTGTTACACACCCCATCAGCATCTCCTCTTCCATGAGATGCTGTTTCCTCAGCGCTGGCTGCAGCACACAGGAGCACATGCGTGTCCTGCTGGGGCTGCTGGGCTGCCCTTGGCCACGGCCTGGGCTGGGACAGCGCTGGCACCGGCGCCAGCCCCGGGGGTGTCCGGGCAGCTGGCTGACACCTCCCTGCCAGCTCATCGATGCCACCTGCTGGGGCCGGGACACCTCCGGAGGAGCAGAGAGAGGGCACCAGCAGGAGGCATGGGACGGGAAAGGAGCATCAAGCAGTTCCTTCTGCCATCTGGCATGGCAGGGTTTGTCTCAGCCATGTGCTGCAGAGGAGACTCTGGCAGCTCTGCCCTTTCCCACAGTGATGCATGAGAAGGGAGAACCTTTTGGTGGTTTAGGTTACTAAAATCCCTTCTCTTGTTTTAGAACACAGGATCCCCATTGCTGGGGGCCAGGATGCCAGTTCTGCAAAGTGCCTAGCTCCTGGGATGCAGTGTGTGCTCAGTTCCTCCTCAGCACAAGCTGTTTGTATAACACCTCTCTGGACTTAAGAACATTGTTCTGCAGTGCAGGTCCTGACTGAGCCTGACTTTTGGCCAGACTGTTTGCTCTCCCTGTACAGACCTTGAAGTTGCCAACAGGCAGAGATGGGACCATTTTCTGCCCTGAATTTCTGCATTGTGTGTCCTTTCCCACATCCCTCTTGGATTTTCCATCATGGAGAGCTCAGGCATCCGAGGGCAGGTCCAGTGGTGCTCTGACTACGACGAGCTGTTGCTAAAACAAGTGCTGGTGGGTGCTGTGTGCCCTTACTGAGCCTCTTTTCTCTCCCTGCTACTGGAAACCACAGTCCCACATGGGATGAGGCAGCACTGATGGAATTGCTGCCAGCTTGGTGGATAACTGGGTCTGCTAAACAGAGGTGCTAATTAGTCAGGATTCATTAAGGCTGTTGCTGTTCTGGCAGGGATGTCTCTGGCACAGACATGTGCTGCAGGTCCCGGGGAAGCCGAAGTCTCCGGGCAGGCTCCTGCACTATCCATGCTGGCACAGGGCCTGGCAATGTCTGCCATCGTGATGGATCAGCACTGCCTTCCTGCTGGCTGGCACTCTGCTGTGCTTCCTTGGGATGCTGCAGCTGCTGTCTCATGCCAGCATCACTGACTGGGACACTGACTGCTGCGCGGGGGAGAAGGGCAAGTGGCTTGGAGAGAGTAGGACAAGCACCCTGTGGTGTCCATGCCTTCCTAGGGACCTCCAGGGAACTGAAGGGAGAAGGTGTTGGCTTGGGTCTGCTGTGCCACTTGTTACCCTCTTAGCACTTCCCACTACCCACTGTGCATTTCCACCTGGCGAGGAGGTTTCGCTGTGCATCCATCCCCTCTGGAGTGGGCAGTCCCTGCAGAGTGCTGCGGTATGGGAGGAGATGAGCATGCTCATCCTTCCCTGCCAAGCACAGGGGGATTAATCCCTACTGACTGATTGCTCCCCATATGTATGTCTGTCTGCCTGCAGCTGGGTCTGTGGACTGTGCCAGTGGGACTGAGGAGCCCCTCAGAGTTGAGAGAGCTTGCTGTTCCCATGAGGAAGGAGACAGGCTGCAATAGCAGGGATGCTCTGAGCAG